TTAACGTTTCTCCACTGCCTTATGGACCAAACCTTGAGATCAAAGGCTCAGGGCATGGCTGCCTGAGAAAATCACTTGCCTCACTTTGGGCACTCGGACAGTGTCTCAACTCACAGACAAATCAAATGGTAAGATACTGGAAAAATAACTCTTACTTCAGATAAATCATATTCATATTCAAAAATTCGTTCTAATTTTCTTTTGTACTACGTCACTCATCTACTCTCTACCATTCTCACTTTGCGTACCCTCGTTTTTCAAGTTATACAGCAATCCACCTATGGTGGAAACCCTGTTGTATCTAAACGATCTCGAGCCACTGACTAGTCCAAATTTGAATGCTACCACTAAATACGAATACTGAAACAGTCTTTCTGAAACCACGTATACCATTCAAACAGATTTCCTTCAAATGTTTGCACACTAACGTGAATCGGACAACAGATAGGGTTTGCTCTGTCTTTAGAAAGCCTCGATATCGACGTCTGTTGTCTATTCGAGACCCATATTCAAGACTCCGGTGATGCACTATAAATTCGCTCTCCATTTTTCGCTTCGAAAAGCTTCTTTCCCATGCATTCATCCGGTAACCCTGTGGGATTGTCTGGTTTTGTTAGCGTTTTTGTCGCACTAAGCGCTAGAGCTGAGGAGGCACTGATCGACGGGATCCCCATCAGCAGTCGGTTATATGCTGTTAGATTAGAAAGCTCGATCAATGTGAGAAGAAATCGGTGTGAGAATCGATATCTTTCCATCATCTCCGCCTGCGTTACGACAGATTGCAGCCCGGATGTGTTAAAGCATCAGTTTTATCACCAGTTAACTGTTCTTCTACAGATATTGTAGTACTAGCCGGAGACTTGGATGCTCAGATCGCGCATCTAGGCACAGAAGAGAGTCATTTAGGTGGCTGATGGGGACTTGTTAGTCACAAGTCAGATAACGGTAACCGTTTACTGAAACTTTGCGCAGACTACATAATGTTTCTGGTTAGCACTAACTAGCAACACAGTCATTGTAGATGTACATCAACATGTTAGTAATGCAGGGGTTCGGGATCGTGTGTTCTGAAACAGTGACGATAACTCATTTGTCGTTACCATCCTTAAACGTTGACTCTGAAGACTCGGTCATGTCCTATGAATGTCGTCTCAGAAAATTCCAAGCCGTGCATTATTTATCGACACATGGACCTGTTGGAAAAAGCCGAGAGGTAGTCAATGTATGACATATTATCGTGGTATAAAAGAAATCTGTACAGGACTATCTTCTGTTGCTCCTTCCCTGGTTAGAACCCTAGAGACGATGCAACACAATGGCTAGAGATGTTATCAGTGATATGATGGAAAGAAAAGTCAATTTTCGATTGATTTACTCATTATGAGTTTTGTTCAAGATTATTTCCGCTTTGATTCAATGTAATGATTACTCAATGTAGTATTCAGTTTCTTTCTCTCTTATGATATTTTATTCTGTATAATATACGATATTCTTCTATTCAGTTGACATGAACTATGCTCTGTATGTGATTTGTTATAACTCTAAGTATTTTTCATATATCTGATTTCATCCTAATTATGAATCAAAATGGGTGTGCAATCAATATATAAATGAGTGTATTTTCTACTAGAGTCGTCGTCGTCATAGTGTTTTGGCTTAATAAATCTGCACTTATACGAGTTTTTGTGTTCTTACTTTCACATCATGGGAATTGCAGAGGTCCCTCGTTCCGAGTATAAGTGATAAGCGTTTCCGACATAACAATCAGTGACGACCAGATACAAAAAGTAGCATCAAAAGAGCCAAGACAATAAGCATTCAAACGACAAATTATAACAATCAGATATGGTTCAAACTAAAAGCCAGTAGTGATTCAGCTGTAATTTTCTTTTAAGTCCTTCATTAAAAAAATGAATGTAACTTCTATAACTCAAAGAATTCTTTCTGGTTATATTGTTACCAAGTGAACTGCTTTTCCCATTACTATTATTATTTCACCGCCATACAGTAATTTCTGTTCGTTGTTGTTGTTCTTTTTTTAATTATATACACTTTACATTCTCTATCTCCCCACAACCTCATTGGTATTGTGTAGCACATATATATTCAGTGCCGCTTTTGTACCAATGTTTATGTTTACTGAGATTTAGATGGTGGTTGGAGGTAGTCAACAGGAAACCCTGGACCCGGGTTTCGTGCTACTTGGCACTCGTCAGCAAGGTGTACCTGTAATCTTGAGGGAACTGGTGCTCCCTGGCGGATCGATCTCGTGTCACCCAGCTTCACAGTCAGAGACGTTACCACTGAGCTATCCGAGTCGTGACTAACCTCCTGTAGGACTGAGATGTAATCACAATTGATTGATCACTGGGTGGTGATCAATGTCATGCTTGTCTAGTCCTTATTAGTGCAGATCGAATGCTATCGATCATGTTGCGATGTGGCCACCAGTCTAGGTGACTCAACACTGCAGGCACTATGTACTGAGTGTCGAGTCACCTAGACTGGTGGCCACATCGCAACATGATCGATAGCATTCGATCTGCACTAATAAGGACTAGACAAGCATGACATTGATCACCACCCAGTGATCAATCAATTGTGGTTTATGTTTACTATCAAGTTATTACCGTAGGAATAATTCGACGAATATAATCCATAATTAGAATTACTATGAATAGTTCTTTTTTGTAATATTTGAATTATATATGAAGCTAATTATTTATTCTGTAAAGATACATACAATTGTAAAATGTTTTCTTCATTGATTTCCATATAATTTTATGACAATGGTATTTGAAGTTTATACACACATGCTGAGATTCGTTTCATCTTCTTATAAAATGATGAGAAAAATAAACAACAATTGGATAGAACTAAAAGCAAAAGAGGAAAACCTAGGACAGAATGGGTTGGAGAATGTTGGTTGGCGGCCAATAGTCCATTGGGGGGTAACAAGCTTAAATAAGTAAGTAATTATTAAATGATGAATAAAATTGAACATTTATTGTAACCAATTTTTTTTTAAAAAAAAACATTTTTCCCATGTTTAACCAAAGACATTTGGATTGAATATTTTTTCTGTTTATTCATTAAGAAAAAAATTGTTTTAATTAAAATACAAAATTTGGGATAAATTTGATTAATTTCAGTGGCGGTTTCTTTATAGTTTAATAATAAGTGATGCTGATTGAAGTATTTAAAGTAAATTCAAATGGAATATTCACTTTTCTGTCTATTCCAGGCTTGTTAAGCTATTCATTTAATACCTGTTTATAATCAGTATATTATTTATTTCATAACAAATAATTGATTTTTTCGACTATGAACGTATAAGACCTAGTGGTTTATTGGATTCAGTAACTTAGTGGATAAGGAGTTGGTATTCTAAGAGAAATCTATTGAGTTCAAGACTGAATGTGCATATCACTTATTAGGATACCTGAACATCGAACTAAATAGTCAGTATAGAGTTGTGGAGATTATTAGGTTTTTGATTAAGATCATGAACCGATTGATGTTAGACCACCATTGAAAACCTGGAAGCACTAGACGGCCATTTCGTCCTATTGTGAGACTCCTTAGCAGCGTGCATCCAGTGCAGCTAATCTGTGTCGGGTAGAGACAGGTATCTGCCACAGTACAATCGAAGATGGTCGCGTAATTTAGTGGGTTGGTTGATGTTAGACATTAACACCATTGGATGCCTGCCGACTCAGTGGTCCAATAAGTTAAGCGTTCGCGTGTGAGACTGAAGGCACTGAGTTCGAATCCTGAGAGTGGGATTGTGGGTACGCACTTCTGAGGAGTCCCATAATAAGGCGAAACGGTTTTCCTATGCTTCCAGGTTTTCAATCGGTTTTATGGTTTCGATCAATAACTAAATAGTCACAAATATGAAGAAATAATCATCCTAGGTTACATTCCTAGTCACAATCCATGTATCGTAAACAAATGATTAGGTTTTCATTGTATTATAACAAGTGTTTGAATTAGTTTTACTAAACGGATTTTAATCGGCATGGGCATTATTTAACTATTTATATTAGATCAAAATTAATTTTCAAAATATTTATAAAGTGAGTGAGACAAGTTGTGGAAAGCAGAAAAAGTTCTGAAATAGTCTTATGTAAGTCAGTGAAAGTTTACCATCTTTATGTAAAACTTATTAAGCTAAACATTTTCAAATCATGATAATATGTTGGAAACTCATGGGTTGATAAATTTTAAGAAGGCTCACTCATTAAGTTTTATTGGTATATATTAATAATTGTGTATACATGAAACCCATCCCACCTTGGTGACTAAAAATGAACGTTACAAACTATATCCACTTCGAAACTTTTGAGATTTCTTTCGGATTTTCAAAAAGACATCTGACTGAATTGCACAAAAGAACTAAGAATGACGAGTTCATTATTGCTTATTGTGAAACATTGATGTCACAAGTTGAAATACCACAGTTGATAATAAGCCATGCGAGCGAGTGTAAGCATGTATTAGCTCCAGTTTCAAGGTTCTTGTTGTTTGCTTCAACTCACGTAATTAAAATGTTTTCAGAATGCTGAATTACTGCTAAGTAAGATTCTGACTAATAGTAGGTAACATTCTTGATGTTAATTAGATAAACGATAGTTATTTCTTCGGAATTATAGTAAAATACTAGAATATATGGTAAAATATGCTCCGTTAATAAAAACATCATATCTCAAATAAGTACTTTAATGATTCATTTCGTAGTAGACAACAGTATCCATAAATTAGAAAGCGAAGTCTAAATTCTATGGGAAATTTTATATATAGTCAAATTATTCAAATTCATTGTGACTTTTCAGAACACAATCCACTAATATGATTTAGGTTTAAGATTGTTATAAAATAAGTGAAACACTTCATACACTGAAACCGATGACAATGGTTCTGTATCTACGCCGTTCTATCGGAAAAACAACTGTTTTATTTAAGAATCCCACAAAAGATGAGAAATTATTTTACTTATATGAAGCAGTATTATAAGCATTTATTAAATTAGTCAGTATTACAAATCACTTTCATTGATCATTACTTGTATTGTTATCATCATCAAGTAGAGTCTATGTACATATTTTTTTCGGATTTCGAAGGATAATTTACAAACAGGAAAGTAAAACAAAGCATTGGAAAGGTGGAGAAGATTTGAAGCTCGAGTGGATTTGCGAAAAACACTATATCGAACAAAGTTGACCCTCCAACTCTTCGTCTACACGAACATCAATTAGTGGTCAAACTCCATGACACACCTTCGCTCATATCACTCTATGTAGATAACCGTGGACACACATTCGACTGGAAAAATGTTAAAATATTGAATAAAGTGTATACCAATAACATCAGAGAATGTTTTAGATGCTCGGTATTCAGGTCAATCAGCAATCAGCAAACACGTCGAAGTTGGTGCAATTTATCAACCATTCTGAAAACTCATGGACAAGTGTAGGACCGATGATCAGATCAAATGGAGATATAATCAAAATAGAGAAGTAGACAATGACAGGTTACATGTAAGTAATAATGAATCAAGATCGATGTGGACAGGACAGGTTGTGAGTCATATGTGGAAAAACTCGAACACTACTTCTCCTTGAAATTTGTGTTGATAATGTTGTTCAGGACAACAGTGTTACCTCCACGACTAAACAATTTAGCTAATAGAACGAAACTCCACCAAAAGTATTGCCGCCTTTAGAACTCTATTTTTTTATAACAATAAAACAACAACATTCTCCCTTGTTTAAGTTTATTAAGAACAAAGTTTGTAAACATTTAAAATTACACAAAGTTTCAAATTTTTAAATATAAAACGTCATTGTAACCCTCATTGTTTGCTATTAAAGTTTTTATTTATTTATTTATTTGGTTAAACACATAAACATCGGTACAAGGAGACCCCAAATAGAAATGCGCCACATAAGTCATTCGATTTCTGTGGGGTCTGAGATACTGCCCGGGTGCCCAAACTGTAGCAGGTGATTTTCATAGGGGTCACACCCAGAGCTTTTGACCAGAAGGTCTAATCCACAAGGCAGTGGAGTAACGTAAGGAGATGCAGTTCCATGGTAGCCGGTGACCAATGATTGGTTCATACGCCAATGGTTCCTTCAGGACACTGGAGCTCATGTGCACCATCGATTTGGAATCAGGATTTTCCGACTTCAACAGGTGGACTCTCCATGTCCACCCACCCAGTTGAAGCGCCGTACATTCGCTTTTCGTCCTCTCAATTTCGTAAACAACACTCTCGCCACGAGAGGGCAGCGAGTGGGACTTCCCTGGCAGAGTAGAACTCCCCTGACTAATAATAATTTTAATCATCATTATATTCAAAGTTCAATTGAATCTATTCAATAGAAATACTTAACTTATAATTTGATTAAGAATAAAAAAATAACTCTTTTATAAAACTTACAATTTTTAGAATTTGTTTCATCTTTGTAATCATTAATCTCTTCAAGACTAATAGCTGTTCGTTTCAATGATGAAAATGATCTTATCATATCTGTTTCAGGTAATTTATTTTGACAATGAAGATTATTAGCTAATGATTTTGAAAAGATTTGTTCTGATTTAGGATTTTTCAGATTTTGTCTTTCATCATTAGTTTTAATAGTTTTATTATTTATTTCATTATTTGGTGTTATATCATGAAATATTCCATTACCTTCATCATCATCAACATCATCATCATCATCATCACGTAAACTATAATTTTGAAGAATATAACCATTAGGTAGTCCAGAGAATGATGGATTTACACTTGAAACGGGGGAATCAAATTGTCGATTATTTCCAACTCCAACACAATTACTAGTAACACCAAATGTTGGTAATATTCTGAATCCATGTGATGGTGATGAATGATATATTGTAGTTGGTGTTTGCATACATTTTCGTTGATTTTCATGATTAGAAATAGGTGATTTACATAAAGTAGTTGTAGGTGACCAACAAGCATTAGGATTTGCTATACAACCTCTTGAACGGTTAACACCTGTATTGTATATAGTGGGATAGTTACATGGAGTCGGGTAAACAACTGGAGATGTTGAACCACCAACCCAAGGAGCTGTAACAACCTTCATTTATGAAGTAGAATAATGTAGGAAGTATTAGTTTATATCTCATAATTATTGCAAATTAAACTCATAGAATACAATAATCGTAAATATATTCTTATTTAAAGAGTCAGTCAACTTTCTGTTTTAATCAGTGTTTCTTAGACACACAGTGAAGAAATTTGATTACTATGAGAATACTCCTTATATCTTACTTACTTACGCCTGTAATCTCTCCTCGAGGAGCATTGGCGGTCCACAAGGCTCCTACATCCAACTCTGTTCTAATCAATCATCTCCAGTTGTTTACAGTTATGATTCATCCTTCTAATATCTGCTTCCAGTTCTCGACACAGTGGGTTTTTTAGTCTTCTTCTTCTTCTTCTTCGTTTCCCTTCAGGATAACAAGTTAGTGCTTGTTTCGTGATGCAGTTTGGTGATTTCCACAATGTGTGTCCTATTCATCTCGGTCGTCTTTTCCTAACTCCCTCTTCAAATTGAAGTTGGTTTGTTCTCTCACAGAATGGTGTTGCTGATAGTATCTAATCAACGGACATTAAATATCTTGTGTAAACAAGTGTTTATAGATATTTGTACTTTTTTGATGATGGTTGTAGTAATTCTCCGCCTGTAGCTGTTCTAGGGCTACTGACAATCCAAAGCCCAAACAAAGGAGGAGGGTTAGGTGTGAGATCAGCATCCCTATCCTGTAGAAAACAACCTTGCTAAAAGAACACTAACCCCTTATATCTAATGAATAGTAAATAAGAATTTACACCAATTTGTAACTCTATTTTATCTCTAGTGACCGTAATCCTTTAATTGAACAAACAAGAAGGAAATATCAGTTTTTTTTTCACTTGAAATATGAATATTTTGGTATTTCAGATGAATTATGGTCTTATTTGTATAGTCTAAAATGAACCATTCTTATAAGTCAGTGTTTGTACCTGTTTCAATTGTTAATTGATCATTTATTTATAAAAGAAAGTATTATGGTTGGACAGAAACATTCGAGGGTGTTAGCCAGCAGTACTTCATGTACAAATTCATAATGGGGCATAGTCTAAATGATCGTTTGTTCAAACATTTTCTAGTTGTACTTCTTTGTATTGACTGAAATTGTATTATTAACAAATAATAACAATTTACTGTCGTAGATCAATTTTTGACTATTGATAGCTATATAGCTCAGTAAGATTTACGGTTCTGCTGAAGTGATCATATTTAATACTGATTAATGTGGCTTAGTCACTATAGTAATTACTACGAAGTGCATATTGAATCACTCAATGGAACCATGGTAGCTTATTTTATAAGGATTTATTTAAACTTGAATTTCAATGGTTAAGATCATGAGTCAGTTGAAGCTAGACCACCATGGAAAACTGAATCACGATCTTAACCAATGAAATTACTACAATCCCCACAGAACACATCTGATATTAAACTTGAATGTTAAATATCTAGTTAAATTTTCAACTGGATCATGAATTAATATGACAGACTAGTACATATTATGGTGTGATCCATTTCTAACCATTTCATGTCTGATTATAAATTTATTAGTATAGGGGTTGTGGAGATTATTAAGTTTTTGGTTGAGATCATGAACCGATTGATGTTAGGCCACCATTGGAAACCTGGAAGCACTGGACGACCGTTTCGTCCTAGTATGGGACTCCTCAGCAGTGCGCATACACGACCCCGCTCTCGGGATTCGAACTCAGGGCCTTCAGTCTCACGTGAGAACGCTTAACCTACTGGACCACTTAGCCGGTATCCAATAGTGTTAGTGTCTAACATCAACCAATCCATGAAATTGCGCTACCATCTTCGATTGTACTGTGGTAGATACCTATCTCCACCCGACACGTATTAGCTCCACTGGTCACGGCTTCTCATTAGAATTCCCAGAATCCCCTCACGAAGCTAGTCACTAGTGAGTACTTGTTAATTACCAGTATAGGGGTTGCGGAGAATATTAAGTTTTTGATTGAGATCATGAACCGATTGATGTTATTTATTATTTATGTTATATGAATGGATGTCTGTAATTGTTTATCTACACTATTCTTTGCCTATTTTCATACATATTCTCCTATTGATTAATCACTATTAACTTCAAAGATATTTCAGTTGTGCTCACCGAGCGTGCTCTTAACATTTACACTCTAATTACTGATTTATAATTTCCATACTATTCACTTTGTTTAAAGAGTAAGTTACCGATTAATAATTAAGTTTTTACAGCTCCTTCTGTCTACATCTATTCCCTTTTCATATTCACTCATTCATTTTGTCCTCTCATCCAAGTTTCTGAAATACATATATATCTAAAATTCAACTCATATGTGACTATTTATTTCTACGTTTTACTAACGTGATTAGTCAACGGAAGTGATACAAAGTTAAATAGTTTACATTATTTCACTATTGTAACAGGCGTAAGCAAGTAAGTAATTTCACTATTGTCAACATTTGGCACAGCTTAGTCATTTTTGAGATCCTATTCTGACTAACTAATGTAATTCATTTGTATTGATTATCTGACTCTTCCCATTGATGTTTAGGACTGCAATCGATTAGTCTCTTTTTGACATGTGTGTATCCCATGTGGACTGTCTCGATATTGTCAATACATCCCAAGCGTTCTAGACAGAAATGGATGATGGCTAGCATCGGAATCCTAGATGAACGTTTCATCCTATTTGAGCACATTCAGCTGACGAGTCTCAAGTTAGGATAAAACGCGTGTCCTTATTTCCACTGCTAGCCACTATCCATCTAACCACCAAACTTTTCTGTTCATAAACTAATCTAATTGCTTCAAATTATATGAAAGTGATTAATTGAGACTGTCTCTTATTTTATATTAACTGACTTCATCCTAAGCATTACATAATTCAAACAAAATTATCCAAATGATGTCGAATCACTTGTATTACTATCATTGTCATTATTACCGGGGCAGTGTATTATTGAATAGTATTTTCAAATGACCTCATTAGTTATATGCAATTCATGGACTTGAATCTTTTTAATTAAGAAATGAGAACATAGACGAACTATTAATTTTTCGAAAAGAAAACGTTGTTGACAATATACAAAAATTGCAAGTTACAAACTTACCTCAGTGAAGAATCCATTGAAACCATTCAAATTATTTTGAGTTGGACTCAATGGTTTACCTGTTAACAGGGGAAAAAGATAGGAATTCAGGATGAATTATGAAGGGATTTACTTTTATGGTCCTTTTCTTAACTTAGACTTCATTATAAATAGTAAGGCGTTATCTAAGTTCTCTACAATGATGAACTTTTGATTTAAATATTTCTACAATTTCTCCTTCTCAGAACATGTTCGCAAACAAACTTACAATTCTCAAGGACTTTTGAGTTACATACTTCGTAACCATCATTATAATGGTTCATTTATTTTAAAAAGTATATGCCCAAACACTCTTAGAATACCGTGATTTTATTCACGTACTTTTTATACACGTCAGTCTTAATTGTGCTTAGTCAAATATTATACGTCTTGTTCTTCTTATTACGATTTTTGGTTCTATTTTGAACATCCATCTTAACTTTATTCATGAGATTATGACAAACTTTTGTTTTTTTTAATTATATTACATTGATATCAGAGTAGAAGATATTCGTAAACTACTAGTATTTGACCACAGATGCCTTAGAAATATTGCTTACGTCTGCTGGGATCATCGGGCAAGTAATAGTGAGGTTAGACGCAGGGTATTAGATGATGGTAAATCAGTTGATGAGGTTATGAATCTTCATCGACTGAGATGGTTGGGCCACGTGTTACGTATGCCTGAACACCGACTACCACGACGTGCAATACTATCCGGTATTGGAGATGGTTGGAAGAAAGTTAGGGGCGGCCAAACCAAAACGTGGCATCAGTGCTTGAAATCACTAACTTCTAGTCTGAGCCATGTTGTTAGATGCAGACTACTTGGTTGGGGTCCGCGTGACTATCGTAACCAATGGTTGAGGACTCTTGGTGACATGGCTCAGAATCGATCACAATGTCGTAGCTGTATACACTGTCTGTCTTCCCTTAAACTAAGAGATTAAAATCGCTTCATATCTTTCTTTCTACAAACTAATTCTTTCTTCGTGTACTATATCCTTATTGCAATTTTTTATATATTACCACCTCTGAATTAACTACTTTTATGAATCCGGTGTCCATCTTGTTGTGTTAATGAGGTATAGCAACTTGGACCGATGCATATATGTGCTTGGTACTACGTTGTAGCTGACTGACTAACGACTGAATATCAGAAAGGGGTTTTTTGTGGACATTATAGTAATTTAATAGTTGAGATTATGAGTCGATTGAAGCTAGACCACCATGGAAAACCTGGAAGTACTCGACGACCATTTCGTCCTATTGTATGACATTAATTTGAGGCTATCTATAACTGATAAGAAGCCTAAAAAAACATACTAATCTTATTTTATTCTTCAAACTTAGGTGTTCTTGATTTGTTACAATTTTTCAAGGGATCAAGTTGTTATCCATCAGTTTTCCACAAACAAAAAAACAACCCAACAACAACAACGTTTGGTAATTTATTGTAACTATTATAGGACATAAAGAACACACTATACATAGATCAATGTGAATATATCCTTGTTTATACAAAGAAACAATTCCCAACTAATTTATTATTGTGGGAATGAAAATAATGATCTGTATACAAATTGTAAAATTGTTTGCTGTCATTTATGATATTTTGTAAACAGTATTGGTAATTATATGTATTTGAATGTACTGGATTTCCCCTTAAAATCTAATCTATATTTCCCATAGATCCTATTTCAAATAATTAAATATGGATGAGAGGAGGGAGAGGAGGAGGAAAATTACATTTTTCTGAATACAAAGTTGATAATTGTCAATGAGATTAGTTATTTAACAATGATTAAATATAATGTGCATGGTTTTCATGAATCAATAATGAAAATGATGCTTTTAATTGGATCTTTTCCATTATTTGATCAGATTTATAAGTTTTATCATTTTAGAAACGTTTCTAATAAAGCACTATAACAACTATTAACATCGTAACAATAATATTAGTTCTAAAATGGATTTATTGTCTAGTCATATAAATAGATAAGAAACACAAGGATAAAGATACCCACCGTCCCTAAGAAGGTACTGTTCATAAAATTACAATTCATAAATGACACCACTGAGGAAATTGTGACTCAGAAACTAAGAACAGCTGTACAAAAAACAGATTAAATGCCATCTTCTACAACCACCCAAAAATAATGACGGCCAATAAAGACAGACTATCTGAATTCGCCAAATCCATGTGTATCTGTCGGTTCGACTGCTCCTGTGGAGCTAGTTATATAGGGAGTACAATTCGTCAAGTTCGTCATCGTATTATAGAACATCATCTGTCATGGTTAAGCAAAGGACAAGTAAAAGTGATTAAAAGTTCTATTCTCTCTCACTTGGTTGGCACAGGTCATCAAGTTGAATTGAATAAAGTTTTTACGGTTATCTACAATATCCCATCAAATTTGCCACATGGTTTATGAGTGCACCTTTTGCACATTGTGGAAGCCATCGCAATCCATGCTCACAAACCTAACCTTTGCATTCAAAAAAGATTTGTACAACCACCTCCTCTGCCCTGGCCATCGGTATAAGATTCCCTTCGAAAGAACTATTTTTCATACTTCTTCCACTTGTTTTTTTCGTAATTTTGTAACTTTATAACTTCTCAACATTCATCTCTTGATTCTTACATAACTACTTTTCTTGTCTTTGTTAAAGTTACCTAAACTAAATGATAACTTAACATAACTCTAGGGCTTGGTACAATTTCATGCCTACACGAGTTAATCTGGCTTTTAGATAGACTAGTTAATTTATTCTTCTTGAGCTATTATTCATATATTTTGGCCTTGTCAATCATTCTCTTATAACCTTGACTGTTTTTTGCGTGAGCGTGTATGTGTGTAGCAATTACACCATTCATTACATCTCTTTAGCTTACTTTCTATCTGACTACAATAATAAGTCATATTTTATCAAATGGGCTAGGTACATTTACCTTCTCCGCTCCGCTTTCCCGCTCTTCACCTTAATATCTGTCCAAGTAAACAAGTGTATGAAATAAGCTCAACCAACCTAATCCATATTTAGCATTTTATTAGCACCGTCTAGGTGTAATATATGGGATGAAGTGGAAGATTTATGTTCATAACCTAGTCATTTCAGTCGTCTAATTGGGAATGAAATATCGAGCCACTAAATAATCAACTGAAGTTAAAAGTGGATATAACTATTGTTGCTTTAATTGATTTTTACATAAAATTTGGTTACTGGTATACTGATTTGATCATTGATAGTGTGTTGTTTATATTGAGTAGTAGGGCCTGGAAAATTGAAGTAGGTTTGTTACAAATATTAATCACAATAGTAATCGAGCTATTCTATTGAGATTTTAAATTTAAACTATCTACATCTTTCTTGTTAAGTTGATGCTAACCTTAGAATGAGTAAAAGTGAGCTATCTCATATTTTTATAATATACACTAACCATCATTTCATTTATGAGTGTTGATTTGCTAAACTAAAACGTGTAAATGAGGGAAACACATCCAGCTCAAAAATATAATAATGGTCGATAAATAATTTATTACTATTTCTTAGGGTCAAAAGATATAGAATGCAGGTTAGCGATGAAACCGGTTTTGACATTCACACATTGTTCATTTGAAGAGACCTATAAATAACATCAACCGAAAAAGGAGTTAATTATAATATTTATGTTATCAGGATGTTAGTTTTTGAGTTTACTTAAACTTTTTTAAATAGTGTATAACATTTTGTTATCGTACGCCTGTTATCTGTAATAAGGTTCATATCATCAATGTAACATTATCATTAGAATGTGGGTTTACTGCAATCTCCACAAACTCTCATTCTGATAAAAATCATCACGTGCTCACTAGTGACTTGTTTCAAGATGGATTTCCTGGAGTTCTAGTGAGAATCTGTGACCAGTGGAATACAATCCGTGTAGAGTGTGACACAGTTATCCACCTCAGACAGTAAATGAAGGGTTGAGCAAGATCATGAATCGATTAATACCGTTGAGTGTCAGCCGGTTAAGCGTTTGTCTATGAGACTGAAGGTCCTGGGTTCGTGTCTCATGTTCAGGATTGTGGATGTGTACTACTGAGGGGTCCCCTACTAGGATGAAATGGCCGTCCAATGCTTGCAGGTTTCCTATGGTAGTCTAGCTTAGATTATATCATGGGCGAGACTATAATTTATGGACGAACCAATCAAATATAAGACAACGAATCATGAATCTTGTCTCGAAATTCATTCATACATTTGGCTAAATAGTGTTTTTGTATTATAGCTGATGTCAGTTCTTGACGAAGACCTTAAATCTAATTTTTAACCCTGACCATCAACTGTAAATGAGAATTCTAACTGCTTCATAACTCTCATTTAATCCTAATCTGTAGGTATCTGCTCTTAAGTTCACTTCAGCTTCACTCAAAGGTCGTCCATAAATTATAGTCTCACTGAATCATGAATTCAACTATTAAGATATATTATGAGGTAGCAGGTAAAATTTCAAATGTTCTGTTGAATGGGTAAACGTACAGTTGTTGTTTGAAAGTGCAAAATATAGAAAACAGCATTCACTCGTTTCATTTTAGTGTCAAACATTAACCTTATTTCACTTCTCTTACACTTAAGTTTGTTCACATTTAATTTTGTCAAGCCAGTCAATTAACTTATTTAACAGACAGTATTGTTCGAACAGTAACAATTCTAAACCTTGTTATTATTATCATGTTCAGTATGAACATGTAGGCTTGATCATACGTGACAACCTACGCATATATCCCTTTTTTCTGTTTAAATGTTAGTTTCCTAAATAGCTTGATGAATCATTCGCTTTCTCATAAATATGTGCTTGAATCTTATTAACTGATTCAAATCTTCATTTGATTATTTATTCGACTTTTAATTCGCCTCTGTATTCGGTTGCTTACATTGGCGTTTCTGCTCGAATTTAGTTAATGTACTAATGGCCTATTGATTTGTGCTTTTCAATGACAAACTGTAGTCGGCGCTTTGTGTTGCTCTCTGAAATTTATACATCGTAGGAACAACGATTATCAAGGCGATTGATATATGAAGGCTTAGGAATTATCTTGAAAAATAATCCGTTAAAACCGCTCTGATGATTTAAACTTGTAAGCCATATTAACACTTTTCTGGTAAAAGATCACATAGTCCATTAAAGCTGTCATGTAGTCTTAATTTAAATGACATTGGTTTCATGTCTGAGCTTCAAGATACGGCCCAATCAAGCTTCTACCGAATAATTATTATTCACTAGAGCCAAGAGAGATTAGTAACTAAGAAATAGTTTATATGATACTAATTTAAGTAATAATTCAACTATCAGATTTTATTAATATTTCTACGATCCATTAAATTGGGAAATGTTTCTGGTAATTCCAGACTAATGGAAAATTTCAGATGACAAAGAAATAACTAACAGCCTGTTTGTAATCCTTGATAGCTCTACGTAATACTTATTAATGGTTAAATTATAATTCTATGTAGGGTAAATGTAGGAACAGATCCCAGTGAACTCAAGGAAGCTCCAAAAATCTCTGAAGGAGCCGAAGGCATTCTATTCAATCATCGACATGTAGCTTCCCGATTGGACAATCACCTTAAGAAAAAATCGCTTCTTTTAGTTTTCCTCGTCTTTCCTTTCTTTTCTGTATCGTTTGTTTGACTTTTAAATTCACTTACATTTTACAGGCTATTTGAGTTGTTTCATTTTATTTCAGTTTTTTCCCTTTTTTCTTCGTTCAATTCATCATAAAGGTTTGCGATTTATTCGTTTCTTTCCTACATAATAATGGCAAATATATTGTGGTTTCTTTTCTTACCTGATACTTTGTGTTAAGAACATGAAATTCAAGTTGTTGTAGTGTCGGTTATTATGTTTAGCCTATATACTTTATTGTAGCTTTCGGACAGGCCAATCTATCCATTTTACTTGAGTCACATTTTTATCTTGTTAATTATCAATCTTGACTGTTTTTATATGAGCACGTAGGTGTGTGTACATTTCTCATCCCATTACTCATCACATGTCTGTAGCTTATTTTTGTGTGACTTTAAGTATTGATTAACGCCTGGTTAAAATGGTAGTTGGCTTACCCGGCATCTCCGCTGCGCGTCGTTTCGCTTCGCTCTATTCCATTCACTTCTCCGATATTTTTCCTGGATCAAAGATTGTATGAAATATACGTATTCGAAATTCATCCTCGTATTTGACTTATATAATTCCTTTATTGACTAACGCGATTTAAGTCGATAATTATATACGAGGATAGGCGACATATATATTTCAACAGCAATCATTAATATGATCTACTTGGAGTCAGATCCCGAGCCACCAAATACTTTTTTTATTAAGGTGATTTTATTGTTCCTTTGGCACACTTTAAGTGCACTGTGTAGTCACTACGATCATTTCTAATATTTGATTATTTAATAAATTCACACATTTAAACTAGAATATTTCAAAATTTATTTTGAAGGTAGTTTAAATCATGAATTCATATTAGATAGATCAACATTGAAAATTAAGAAGCATTTAAGACTGTCAGAAGCCGTGACAAATGGAGTTAAACTATATCAAGTATGAGATAGTGGTGGAGTTTTGTTTTCTGAGCTGGATGGTCTGGTCGTGGAGCTTTCAGATAGAAGTGAAGTTTGTGCTGATGATGTCGTTCAGAAGAAAGATGAAAGCTCCACGACCAAACCATCCAGCTCAGAGAACAAAACTCCACCAAAAGCATCCACCTGAGATACAAATCTTCTCCACCATCTCAAGTATGAGATAGTTACCTATCATAGACAATGGAAGATCGATTCACACGATACTAAGAATCGAGACATATACACCGTTAGATGCCAGCTTAGTAGTCTAAAGGTTAAGTGTTTGTGAGCCAGACTGACGACCCCAGGTTCATGTCCCGCTTCAGTTGTGAATGGGCATTTTTGTGGAGTTTCGTACGAGGACGAAACAGCTGCTCAATGCTTCATAGTTTTCTATTGTGGTTCAGCTGCTATCATACTATGGTAATTGAATAATCTCCATATACCCCTATATTCTAATTATTTTAGGCAATTAAGAAATGTATGTTACCCTGATTATGATTTCCAATGAAGCGTAATAATGAATTTGTCAACAGTTTTCTATAACGTAAATCATGACTTATTTGCATATCGTCAGTTCAATAAATACACGAAGTAATGTACTAGTGTTGATAATTACGAAAACAAATAAATAAACGAAATCTATGAAGCACTGAAAACCGTTCATGAAAATAAGTCCTTTTAGAATAAATCAAGCGTTTAATTAAAGGCCATGAAAACATTGAAAATTATGTAATTTCAAGGTAACTGTTAACCTTCAGTGCTCACCAAAAGATAGAACATGTGAATCATCCTATGATTATCATTTGCTGATTCATTTTCAGGTAACTGCTTTGGAAATGAGTTTGAAAAAACACAGTTTGTTTATATTCCTTCACCAATACATTTTATTTTGAAAACGACGATGCAGCTGATAGGCCTCACCTCAAGGGGGCTTTCCGTGTTGTTCATAACAATGCAAACGATTGTAAGACAAGTGTATTACTGCAAGTTGGGATTATTTTAAAGAAAAGTCTTGTATACAATATGGTCTTATGGTCAATGTTTGTGTGTTTGTTGGGCGAACTAATATTAAAAAGCAACATTTTTGAAAAACCTATTAGAGTCAGATAAATAAACTGGCATCACCCACCTAATGTCCTTATTGAATTATTTACTTGGCAGACACCTAACATAAGAATTAGTCCTGTGTACAATTGGAGAGTAAAAGTAATGTCTGTTTTCCTGGCTGATTTGGATATAAGTGAAAAATGGTACATATAATCAGTTGTAACTGTGAACACAATGCCTCACATGTTCATGGTGAGTAAAATAATTGTCTTATACTTGACTTAGCTTAATATAATTGTTTTCAACTAACATAAGTCCGTAGCTTCCTGAAAACTATATTCAACCACTAAGACTGATCGAACATGACAGTGGTTGCCACTAAGTGATCAATCAACTATACTGTAATGTGTTTTGGGTCTAGGTCTGACAAATATATCCCTTAGTTATTTAACTATTATGAGCTTAGGAGATCAATATATATATATATATATATATATATATATATATATATATATATATATATATATATATATATATATTGACGATGAAACTTAACTATCTCCACAACACTATACTGACAAAATTAATGGAACGTGATTTTTTTATGCGACCAACACTCACAAAGTTGCTACATATTAGTTAAGATAAATTTAATAAATTAATTGAGCTTACCCACAGCAAAACCTTCATTTGCTTTTGAATCAGGACCATCACATGCTAAACTTTGCTCTAATGGAATATTTCGTATTAATAGACGTCTATAGCGTACAAGTAGTAGGAGAACAATTGTTGTAAGCAATAGCAAAACAAATACAGTTGATAAAATAACAACCATTGTTTTATCGGATATTCTTGCATGCCCTGCTGATGTCCATGTTCCAACTTTAACATCGGATTCAGAATCATGCTCGTTTGATGGGAATAAATATTGTTGTGTTTCTGTTCTCCCAGTCTGTCGATATTCTTTAGCATTAATTCTATTTGAGTATAATATTCCATTTGAGATATCTCCATTTGATCCTACTTGACGAGCCACACGAATAACTAGAGTTGTGTTTAAACTATCCGGTTTTCCTAAATCATAGGCTAATATACGTAGCATATAAGCTCTAGGACCATCAACATTTAACGGTGGTAGATTCTCGCGAAGATAACAAATGCCTGCAGTTCGATCTACAGCAAACGGATAGTCAACATTCGAAGATTTACTTTCTTGGTTCATTTGTGAATTCGTATCTGTAGTATTTCTATGATTTACTTGACTATTCCTTTGAACAGATTCTGCGAAATTCCATGAACCTAGGTCATCTTCCACCTGAAGTAATTTGTATTCAATCGTACCATTTTCACCTAAATCTGGATCGGTCGCACGTATTGTAAATATCGTATTTCCAGCGATTAGCTGATCTGGGCTTAGCATAAATTCTACATGATTCAATGGACTGAGTATTCTAGGTGGATTATCATTGTGGTCTAACACGGTTATTAGAACTGTTGCCGTTGCTGTGAACTGAATGACTTCATTTGTTGTTTGTCTTTGGTATCCAGCTATTTTTGTCGGTATGGACCTAGGGTTATCCAAAGCTAGAACCACAAATTCATAGTGTGCACGTCTTTCACGATCTAGCCTTCCCTTTAGGTGAATAATCCCACTTCTTGGATCAATTTGGAAATGAGTGGTGATCTCAAGTGCTTCATCGTAAAGATTCTGATTGTTGGAGGACTTTGTAACTTGTTCTGCAAAATTTCCATCATTTGTTGGTTCTTTAATTCGATTATTAATTCCAACTGCTAGACGATAGGAAATACGTGCAGCTTCTTCTTGATCAGCATCAACAGCCCATACTTGTCCAAATTTAACAAGATCTAATCCCTCTTCAACTTCAAAGTGATAATTGGCTTCTTGAAAAATCGGAGGAGAATCATTTAAATCGTCAATAATTATACGAACATTAGCAGTCCCTGTTAATCTCAATGACTCATCACATTGCCGATCACTAGTTCCATTTGATAATGTACAATCTATTGCATATACCTGAAATACTAATTCATTTATAGTTTCACGATCAAATGGTTGAATAGCATAAAGCATTCCACTAAATTTATCTATCTGTATTGAACCACTTGGATTAGAACCTAATTTATAATTAACACTTCCATGAATTCCTCCATCTTTATCAGTTGCATGTACTATCCCAATAGGATAACGTTCAATTTCAGATGAATGAATACTATGTTCTAATTTTATTTTTGGATAATTTTCTGGTAAATGAAATGTATATTCATTATGATCAAATATAGGTGAATTATCATTTATATCTTCTATTTCAAGTAATATATCCGCTTGTGATGTTAATGAACCACCTGGTAATTCATTATGTTGATTATCAATACAAATAATTGAAAATTTTATAAATGATGGTTGTATATCACTAAATTCTCTATCTAATGAAGAGATTGACATTAATTTATATATTTTTGTTAATGGTTTATTATGATTATTCCATTCAATAAAATGAGATTTTAAATCAATATTATTATTATTATTATATAAATTGTTACTAGGCCAATATAATGAAAAATCATTAAATCGATTTAAATGATTATTGATTTCTTCTAATAAAAATCGACTATCATTTGTTTTACATATAATATCCGATTGTGTTAATGTTGAATCTTGATCAATCACAGTGATTTGTGCTATGATTGATCTTTCTAAATTTTCAGTTATTTTACCCCATATATGTCGTCTATCTGTATTATATACATTTAATTGATTCATTGTAGATTGTGTAGGTTTAAGATAGGATATAAATATTTCTGGTGGATGATCATTTACATCAATAATATGAATAATGACTGGTACTTTAGTTACTAATGGAGTTAGACCATTATCATATGCTTCTATAAAAAAATGTAATTGATCATTATTAGATAATAATTCATTATGATTATTATGATTATTTAATTGATGATTTAATGGGAAATTAGATCCTAATTTTGATCCGATAATCATTTGATTATGTCGAGCGATTGAAATAGCTTTCGATGTAGCTTGTTGAATTTTTTCTTTGGATTGACGTTTAATAATAAGTCGACCATAAACAGTACTATTATAGAAATTTTCTTGTATATTTAATAAATCATTTGATTTCTCATATGGATATTCTATAGAAAATAATTCTGCAGCAATTAATTGACTATCGGTTAAACTAATTCTATCTCTTTGACCAACAATTTCATTTTGATTTGTATTATGATCCATTTGACCAGGGATACGAAATTTTATGATACCATTCTCTTTTGTATTATCTCTATCTCTTGCAGAAAATTCAAATATCATATGACCACCAGGATCATTTTCTGATATTTTTCCGGTATAAAATTCTTGATTAAATTCTGGTGAATGATCATTAATATCTTCAATCATTAATCGAATAGGAAGTTTACCTATTCTTGATGGTGAACCACCATCATAAGCAACTAAAATAAAATGATATTCACTTCGTTGTTCTTTATCTAATTCACCATTATTTATAGTTTCTGTTGTTCCACCAGTATTTCTAACTGGTACTAACCATAATCGATTGGATTTATGATCTTGAAATAATCCAACATGTTGAAATTCTTTATGAATTCGATAATTTAAATCATTATTTATTAAAGGACCTACTTCAAGTCGAAAATGAAAAGCATCTTCACCTTCTAATCTATAACCTTTAATACTATTTACACCTTGATCTGGATCTATAGCTGTTGGTAATAGAATTCTTACTGGTTTATGCTCAGTTCTATGCTTCATACTTGATATATCATCTTTTTTATCCAATAAAGTTGGTGTTTCTGGTACACTAATAACAAATTCATTTGTTTTACTATCTAAATTCGTTTGAATCTCTTTAAAACTTGGTGCATGATCATTTATATCTTCTAAAATGATTGTAATAAAATCAAATGATGGATTTGCTGATGAACCATGTATAATTGATAATTTTATGATACAGTCATTATTATCAATATTATTATTCATATTATTATTATTATTATTATTATTATTACTATTAATTTGTAAATTATAATTGGATCCAAGATTTAAATTATATTCTGGAAATTCAATTCCACCATTTGCAATAGATACAGCTGTTTCTGGTAATTTTTGATTATTTGGACATAATAAATCACGATCTGGTGATATTTTTATATATAAACTATATTTGTAATTATCTATAGCAAACCAATTAGCACCTTGCATTACTGAATTACCAATAGCTAATAAATAATCAATATTTTTCTCTTTTTTTTTATTATTTTGTTCATAATATTCGATTGGTGAATAATTTGGTCCATATAAAAAATCAATTATATTTGGTATAATTACAGTACCGATTGGGGTATTCTCTTTAATACGTATAATACGTGTAGTTTGAGCATTAATATTATACATTAATTGATTTGAATGGATTGTATATAGAATGGTTATGATAAATAAGATATAAATATATTGATAAAAATCAATCCCAATTGATAGTTGCATTATATAGTTGAAAGTGGATTATTTGCAATAACCTCTTTCTCCCTCTCTCTCTCTCTTTTTTTTGTGTGTGTGTGTGTGGTGTTCAGATTACTTAATGGATAGACATTTTTTTAAGACTGAAATAAAATATTAGAAAAATTCGGTTTAGTTACTAAAATTAATTTTAAGTAATATTGAATTACGTAATAATGATATCTATCTATCTATCTATCTATCTATCTATCTATCTATCTATCTATCGCAAGACATCTCCTTGACACAGGACACGAAATCGATATACTGAAGTCCTTCAAGGTGATCAACAAACAATCAAATTCAAACCTTTTGAAATTTGCCGAAGCGATAGCAATCAAACGTTTAAAACCAGATCTCTGTATACAAAAAGAAACAGTAATAAATCTTTCTTTGCCCTGATAACATTACCCCCTTTATTTATTACGTCATTCCAACTCTTTCTGAATTTTATAATTACATCATTCATAATTGACCAATTTCGATTCATACCTCTCTTTATTACTATTAATCTATTTTCAGTTATTTCACTGCATAATAATCTAATGTGTTTTTAATTCCATGATTTCTAATTACTATTTCAATGTTCTGGAACCTTCCCTCCCAAACTCTATATATTCGAAACAAAAAAATTTATGACCTCATGAACTCTAACGAAATCTTTGCTACATCATGTTACATATATTCATCCTTCATCACCCTCTGTTGTATAAGTATGTCAATATCTATAATCATGTTGAATTTCAAATATTTTAGGTTGTAAGCAGCTGATGAGAACCTAACGAAATAAAGTGAATCCATTTATTATTCTGCACCAACCCTTGTTCTTGCTCTCTTTAAATTAATTTTCACAATTCAATAAGTAGTATAAATATCATGGGGAAAACATTATAATCTATTTTGGAAAGTACATAATTTGTCAATAAACATAGTTTTATTATAATAGAGTTCGAGTTGTCTGTTTAGATCATCCTGTTCGATGAATTGAGATCAAGTAGGAAGATAAATATTTTTGTGAAAGATTGGCTGTATATCAATTAAACGGGTTAAAATGGAGTTGTTAAGCGTTTTGACTACATCTTTGGTTAACCACACTGAGAGGTGCTTACAAGCCTGAATGTACAAATTCTTCGAATATCTGTCAATATAACTTGCTCCACAGAAGCAGTTGAATTGATAGATAAATATTTCAAAAAGACAAAATGTGTCTTGTATTCTTTTGAACTACAGTAATTCATGACCAAGTTATATATACATTTTCAGTAATAATACTTGTATTACTTCTCCATATGGATGTAGTCTATCATGCAACTTTGTATACTCGAATATATCGTCGAATTTGTAATTGTACTATTATTTCTCTCACCCTATCTGACCCATAATTATTCTGATAGCGAATCTTATAATTTCACATTACATATGAGTAATTAATTAATCTAATAGATGTTACATTCAAATTGAAATTTTATGAAGTCGGGGATTTAGTTCATAGTGAAAACATTGAGATTTTAACTATAGATTAATTATCATTCATGTACTTAGATTCGTTCCTATTCACGACACAATTTTCTCAATTTGACTTAAAAGTCTAGAATAGCTTGATCATTGTGATATATAAGTCATCAAGTATGAATCCAAAACTAAATAACTATCCAGTACTCCCTAGTAATAACACACAACTCATCAGTTAATATTTGTTGGTAAAAAAAATAGGTTATTTATCGAAAATTTATTGAATACACAAATCCAACTTCGTAAATCTCATATTTACAACCAAACTCACAGACTTTGTAAGCAAAGATGGATAGTGATCACCAATTGAGTCCAGGAGGATCGTTTCGTCCTATTTCGGACACATTAGATGGATGTAACTGCATCTCAGAGTTGATATTCGGGTTATCTATTTAGCTTCTGAGTCCTGATAGCCACTACTAGTCACTATTCATCTTTGCTTATAATACTTGTGAATTGAAGCACTATAGAAGCAATACACACAGAATGCACATATGCCAATAAAAGAATGATCAATTACTGTCCTAAACATTAATGGGAAGATTCAAACAAAACAATACCAAATGAATTTAAACTAACAAACTGATTTTCAGTAAACACACTAAAATAAACATTCTTTAATACAATACAATCCTCACAATTCGGTTTATTTTTAACGGTTGCGATCATGAGTCAATTTATGTTAAACCAGCATAGAAAACCTGAAAGCACTGAGAAGTAATGACCAATGGAGTTCAACCGGGTCTGTTGTGAGATATTAACTCACTGAACACAATGATGGGTGTGTCACTGAATTTTGTAGATTATTTGAAGTTATATATTAACACCGTTTGATGCCGACCGGCTCAGTGGTCTAATGATTAAGTGTTCTCGTGCGAGGCCAATAGGTTCAGGGTTCGAATCTCGCGATGCGAGATCGTGGATGAGCACTGCTGAGGAGTCTTACTATAGGACTGGGACGATGATCCCCAAAACTCAAATTTGTAATTTACTTATCGATTAAATGTGCAGATAGGTCAATTGATGAACTATCGATTAAATGTACAATAGGTCAATTGATGAACTATCGATTAAATGTTCAAATAGCAGTCAATTGTTGATTAATGTTCAAAAATCTTCTATGACAATATCGATTGTAAATAATTGTATAAATACGCTTGACTTGTATGCTTGATCGGATCTGCCTGCCTGACTTGTTATCTGCTGTTGCTTGTAGAATACACTTTCTACGCCTTACCAAGACTTCTTGATCGAGTTAGCTGAGTCGAAGACAACGGACCAGAATAGTCTATCGAGATTCTGAATCCTTGATCCGATCGATAAGTCACTGTCATATAATCGGCACTCACTTTGAGACATAACAAGGACAAAGTGGACGTCCAGTGCTTTCGGATTTTCTATGGTGATCTAGCTTCAATTGAATCATGATCTCAGCCACTGAAATTACTATAATATTCACAAAAAATGTGTTCTTCATTGATTTACATATAAGCTTATGACAATGGTATATGAAGTTTATACACATATGCTGAATGATTTTTCCATGTTTAACCATGTTTAACTTATGGAGTTAGAATACTCAGATGATAAAGTTTTGTTCGGTAAAGACACTGATAAAATGCATAGTTGTCTGGTAGGGCTGAGCATAAACGCCAAAATATTAAGGATGCGCTTCTCCCTTTCTAAATGATTTTCAATACAGGGCTGCAGAGATTATTAATTTTTTGATTGAAATCATGAACCGATTGATGTTAGACCATCATCAAAAACTTGAAAGCACTGAATACCTGTTTCATCCTAGTATGGGACTCCTCACTAATGTGCATCCTCGACCTTGCCTCGCAAGACTCGAACCCAGGGACTTCGGTCTCACGCACGAACCACCAACCCCTAGACCTCTAGATCGTGAATACGCACTACCGAGGAGTCTCACAGTAGGATGAGTTGGCTGTTTAGTGCTTTCAGGTTTTCCATAATGGTCTAATTTCAGTTGATTCATAATTTCAACTACTAAAATCACTATAATATCCCCAAATGCCTTTCTGAAATTAGGTGTATTCCAACCTAATAAACCGTTGAATAATATATATATATATGCTTTTTGATATTTATCTAAAGTACGAATTGTGATTTATGTTGTCAACCCTTTGACTAACTCTTTTTTGTTGTTGTTTTAACATATAGACAATTCACTCTTTTTTTTAAAAAAAAACTTTTATTTCAAATGTCATACATTTCAAAACAGACAAACAAACAAACAAATAAAACTGAATATTTTTTCACTATAAAATAATGTTTTATCAATAATATTTCTAGTAGTAACTAGGTGATATTCCATAATTTGATTAACTTTACTTTTAATGATATAAAATAATCTTTATTTTATGTCATGGTCATTCCTTCAATGACAATAAATATTCATTTGTATACATTTTCAATATGTTCAATGTCATTATTACTGGATCGTCACGAAAAACTACACTATTTTTTTTGGTTTTTTTCGATTTTTTTGTTTTTTGTGTTTTTTTTTGTTTTTTCGATTTTTTTGTTTTTTGTTTTTTTTAGTTTGTATTTTGTAGCGAATGGAAACTACAATCTTTTTTTTTGTATTTCTATTTTTAGTTCTATAAAATTCTACTCAATAAATTTCTATTTCAGTAGTATATGACTACTTACATATATATAACTATATATAAAAATTTTAAGCTACTGTTCATTCAATATAAAAATGTTGACATTTTTAAATTATTTGACATTTTAAAACAAACAAAAAAATATGACATTCAGTTGTTCTTCTTTTTTTTCTTCTTCCTAATTTGACATTTAAGTATAAACAATGAATAGTGAAGTGCTGTACAATCGAGAAAACTGTTGTTGATTTGTTGGTGTTATTGTTGTTGTAAAATACATCAGTTTAAGTACATTTATGTTGTCTAGGATATGTGTAATACCAGAAAAAAATTAGTTATATTCTTTGAAAGTGTTACAGAACGATAGAGTTCAATACAGAAATCGGTGAGATTATAATTTATAGACGACATTTAAACGAGGTTAGACTGACCTTGAATGTGTTCACATGATAACCAGGATTAAATGAAGGTTATAAATTAGTATGATGAATTCGAATGATGATTTACAATTGATGATTAAGGTTAGGAATTAGATTTAGAGTTTTCATCACGAACTGATATTAACTATAATGCCAAAACTCTATTTATCCAAATAGATGAGTGAATTTCGCGCCAGAATCCTAGACTTGTTATCTAATATCTGATTGGTTCGTCCATAAATTATAGTCTCGCCTAATTCTTCGTTTAATAGTATTGTCTTAATTATTCTTTGTTCTATTTTGATTGTTAAAACTGAAGAAAATGACCTTATCAACATCAGTTAGATTATAAATAATGTCTATTAACATTCAGTGGTACTTCAAAAAAAGGAATGAAGTATGAAGTAGGAATGTTGAGACAAATAGA